GCGTTTTGGCTACAGTGTGTGTGTGTGAGATTACGTGTCTGTGAGTGTGTGTCATGAATTATATTGCTCTTATGAATTTTTCGTTGATGCCATACTAAGTAACTGATATTATTATCTGAAGTTTAAAGCAATAAGTTCTACGTCATCTCCATTATCATCATTGGCTGATTCATACACTCGTGTATGACCAGATAGTATCCCTGTGTAAATAGGAGAGATGAACGTATCGGACCTGCATTTTACAACCGCATCTGTATTTACAAGATGGCAGGTCCAAGGCTACATAAAAGACTGCACAGATACACATTCACACACGTGCACACACACACACACACACACACACACACACACACACACACACACACACACACACAAACAAGCGAGTACAACACACACACATTGTGCGCACTGCAACACACACACTCAGGGCCTGCACGACATGTGTGTGTTGCATTTCGCGCAGTGTGTGTGCGTTTTGTCTACAGTGTGTGTGTGAGAGACTACGTGTCTGTGAGTGTGTGTCATCAATTATATTGCTCTTTCATTGATGCCATAACTGATATTATTATCTGAAGTTTAAAGCAATAATTATAAGTTCTACGTCATCTCCATTATCATTATTGGCTAATTCATACACTCGTGTATGACCGGATGGTATCCCTGTGTAAATTGGAGAGTTGAACGTATCGGACCTGTATTTTACAACCGGATTGGAGATAACAAGATGGCAAGTTCAAGGCCAAATAAAAGACTGCATTGTTATCTCAAGTATTCAGCAATTAATGACAGATACATTTATACAACACACACACACAGATACACATCCACACACAGAGAGATTCAGAGATACGTATACAACACAAACACACTGTGCGCAAACTACAACACACACACACACGCTGGGCCTAGCTGGTGTGTGTGTGTGTGTGTTGCATGTCGCGCAGTGTGTGTGTGCGTTTTGACTACAGCGTGTGTGTGTTTGCGTGCCTGTGAGTGTGTGTCTTGATTTATATTTCTCTCATAAATTTTGCGTTGATGCCATAACTGATATCATCATCTGAAGTTTTAAACAATACGTTCTACGTTATCACCATTATCTTCATTGCTTGATTCAGACACGATTGCATGTTTAGATAGTATCCCTGTGTAAATAGTAATGATGAACGTACCGGACCTGTATTTTACAGCCGGTTCCGTGATTACAATATGGCAAGTTCAAGGCCACATAAAAGACCGATTTGTTATCTCAAGTATTCTCCAAAACCGCACGATACATTTTTACAACACACACAGATACGTTTACAACACATGCACTGCGTGCACTCCAACACACACACACACACACACACACTCTGGGCCTGCCTGACATGTGTGTGTTGCATTTCGCTCAGTGTGTGTGTGTGACTCGAGTTGTATTGTTCTTAGCAATTTCGCGTTGATGCAATAACTGATATTACTATCTAAAGTTGTAAACAGTGAGTTTTACGTCATCACTACTGTTTTGCATTGGTTGATTCAGACACGAGTGTATGACCGGATGGTATTTCTGTCAGTGTGTAAAAAGGAGAGCTGAACGTGTCTTTCCCGGATTTCACGGACGGATCCGTGATCACAAGGTGGCAAGTCCAAGGCCACATAAAACACTGCATTGTTATCTCAAGTATTCACCAATAAACGCATGATACATATTTACAACACACACACACACACACACAGGCGTACAACAGACCCACACACACTGCGCACTGCAACACACACACACTCAGAGCCTGCCCGACATGTGTGTGTTGCATTTTGCGCAGTGTGTGTCTGTTTTGACTACGGTGTGTGTGTGTGTGTTTACGTTTCTGTGTGTGTGTCAAGGGTTATATTTCTCTTATTAATTTTGTCTTTGATGCCATAACTGATATTATCATCTACAGTTTTAAACAATACACTGTCTACGTTATCGCCATTATCTTTCATTGCTTGATTCAGACACTCGTGTATGACAAGATGGTATCCCAGTGTAAATAGGAGAGTTGATAGTACCGGGCCTGTATTTTACAACCGGATTGGAGATTACAAGATGGCAAGTTCAAGGCCACATAAAAGATCGATTTGTTATCTTAAGTATTCACTAAAAACGCGCGATACATTTTCACAACACACACAAAGATACATATTCACACACACACACAGATACGTATACAACGCACACACTGCGTGAACACACACACACTCTGGGCCTGCCTAACATGTGTGTGTTGCATTTCGCTCAGTGTGTGTGTGCGTTTTGACTCCAGTATGTGTGTAAGTTTACTTGTATGTGTGTGTGTGACTCGAGTTGTATTGTTCGCGTTTTCGTCATTTTCGCGTTGATGCAATAACTGATATTACTATCTAAAGTTGTAAACAGTGAGTTCTACGTCATCTCTTTTGTTTTGCATTGGTTGATTCAGACACGAGTGTATGACCGGATGGTATTCCTGTCAGTGTGTAAAAAGGAGAGCTGAACGTGTCTTTCCCGGATTTCACGGACGGATCCGTGATCACAAGGTGGCAAGTTCAAGGCCACATAAAAGACTGCATTGTTATCTCAAGTATTCACCAATTAACGCACGATACGTTTTCACAATACACACACACAATCACACATTCAGAGATACGTATACAACCGTTGACACACACACACTGTGCGCACTGCAACACACACACACTGGGCCTGTCTGACATGTGTGTGTTGCATTTCGCGCAGTGTGTGTGCGTTTTGACTACAGTGTGTGTGTGCGTGTGTGTTTATGTGTCTGGGATTGTGTGTCATGAATCATATTGCTCTTATTAATTTTGCGTTGATGGAATGACTGATGTTATTATCTGAAGTTTGAAGCAATAAGCCAGTCTACGTCATCTCCATTAACTTCCTTGCTTGATTCATACACGAGTGTATGGTCAGATAGTATTCCTGTGTAAATAGGAGAGTTGAACGTGTCGTTCATAGATTTTACAGCCGGATCTGTGATTACAAGATGGCAAGTTCAGGGCCACATGAAAGACTGTATTGTTATCGCAAGTATTCATCAATGAACGCACGATGCATTTTACAACACACACCGTGAGATACACATTCACACAGGCGTATAACACACACACTGTGCGCACTGCAACACACACACACACTCTGGGCCTAGCTGGTGTGTGTGTGTGTGTGTGTGTGTGTGTGTGTTGCATGTCGCGCAGTGTGTGTGTGCGTTTTGACTACAGTGTGTGTGTGTTTGCGTGCCTGTGAGTGTGTGTTTTGAGCAGTGCCCGACATGTGTGTGTTGCATTTCGCGCAGTGTGTGTGTCTGTTTTGACTACAGTGTGTGTGTGTGTGTGTGTGTTTGCGTGTGTGTCAAGGGTTATATTAATCTTATTAATTAGCGTTCGCAACAGACACACACACACACATACACACAGGGCCTGCCAGACATGTATGTTGCATTTCGCTCAGTGTTGTGTGCGTTTTAACTTCAGTGTGTGTTTTGTCGTTTCTTTGTGTGTGTGTGTGTCAAGAGTTATATTGCTCTTATTAATTTTTCGTTGATGCCGCTACGGGAAGCTCTCCTATTTACAAAGGGATACCATCCGAGTGTATGAACCAACCAAAGAAAGATACTTTAAGACCCGTAAACACACACACACACACACACACACACACACACACACACACTGTAGTCAAAATGCACACACATACACTGCGCGAAATGCAACACATACCCATGTCGGACAGGCCCCTGTTCGAGTGTGTGTGTGTGTTGCAGTGCGTACAGTGTCTGTGAGTGTGTGTGTGTGTGCGCCTGTGTGTGTGTGTGTGTGCGTGATTGTGTATCTGTGTGTGTGTTGTAAAAACGTAGCGGTCATTTATTGGTGGATCAACCAGTATACTTTAATCTTCAACACGATATTAATCTGTTTAAATGCAGAACAAAAGCTAATACATGCAAATAGGCTAAATCTACGTGGACAAGTAAGACATCCCATCACAGGGAAATTTTATCGATGACAATCACATAAGATAAAGTCATTCAATACATCGAGTCAAACTATAGAATTGCATACTTAGATACAAAGTTACGATATAAGGTACTCACTTTAAACTGTATGCCATAACTGTCTTTGTGTGTATTCAACACATGTAACTGTTCTTGACATTTTTGCTTTTCTAGTCCTTCACATGACTGGTGATGTGGCCTTCCGCCTAACTAGTTGGAATTTACAAGGTAGTCTTAGTAAGAAATGGGTAGAAGTAGATTTTGGAGAGAGTATACGTAAGTACGACGTAGTCTGTATTCAGGAGACCTTGTAAATACCTAATGATACATTTCATGTAGACGGCTATCGATGCTTTCGAAGTGACCCGAAACTTTGGAAACGGTCAAAAAGAAGCTCAGGCAGTATTGCCCTTTTCTTAAAACAAAATTTGGCAAAAGAAATTTTCCAAACTAAATAGTAACTAACTGAACTATCTAACTAACTAAACTAACTGAACTAAATTTTCAGTCTATCACCAGATAAGGGACAGGTCCCGGCAGACTGGAAAAACGCGTATGTACGTGCACACTACTTACGAAAAAGGGTGACAGAAGCAACACCGCTAACTACCGTCCAGTATCCCTAACCAGTGTCAGTTGTTAACTACTTGCCCTGAACACATATTGTATTCCGCAACTATGAAGCACCTAGACAGCCACCACATCCTACTCCCCGCCCAACACGGTTTCCGCGCTAAAACACTCCTATGTATCATGTATGCACCTTGCACGATCTGACCTCGTGGTTCGACAAAGGCAGACAGATACTGTAGACATCGTTACTCTCCATTTCTCTAAAGCATTTGACATACTAGGCTCATCAATAAACTTGACTTTTATGGTATAAGAGGAAAGAAATTCGGGTCGCAACGTTTCCTTGTCTGGGTGCCAGTGCCGTCTTTATAGGCATGTAATAATATGTAGAACTTGACACGATTAAGAAAAGACTCACCGCAAGTGACCAAACATGACCTTTTGGCCCATTTCCCGGAATCCATAGTCAACCCGCGCCCTTTCTACGATCTCTTCAATTTCCTGTTGGGAAATGTCAGTGTACCTCTCCTGTTGTATGTTGAGTCCATGTTCGTCAAGTCTGCGGTATATGGTGGACCGGTTTACTTGATGTTTTTTGGCAACGTCAGTGACACTGTAGTCTAGGTCCAGGATGTCGTGAAGAACATCTTCAACAGAAATGTCTTTCCGTGGCCTCCCAGGTCCTTCCCTCTCCACGTTCCCAGCCGGATGGAAGCTTTCTACCCGTTTTGGTTTGGGAAGAGCGTGTTGACGTTTCCCGTTCCATTGTTTCAGACGGGCTCGAAGTTCCCCTGCCACATCCGAAATTGCAACTCTAAAGTCATCATTAGCTGGCAGGCTGGGGCATGCTTTCTGCAATTTCGTCGCCTTTGTGGTCAGAGCGAAGATTCTCTCTATGAAAACGTTTATCTCGGCTATGTCCCTCGTGTCTATTCTTCTATCGCAATCTCTGATCAGTCCTTCTAGATGTCTTGTGAATGAACGGAAGTTGTTTTCTGGAAAATAAGACCATCCATTCATTCTTAGGCTATTGAAATTATGATCACATAATAATCAAACTGCAACAACAACAACTTCCTAACCGAAGAGTCGACCCTGTACTCTTCAGTTACAGGTGAATGAGTACTTACCTGCACTGCTTGCCATTCTGCCTCACTCACACTCTTTATTTCTTTATTTCTTTATTTGAATTCACCACATGCAAAAAACAAGTGGAAGGGAGGACAAAACAGGTGTATCAACGCCTTTACAAGTTGTCCTCCCAAACCTGAAATGATAATACAAAACAATACGGAACCAAGTCAAACAATAAACATTAGACATAAGACATCAAAAATCAGTAGACATGAAATATACAATTCGGTAAAAGTTATACAGAGAATTGATTATGTACAAAAATTATCAAATGTCATTATGTACAGATTAAAAAGCTAATTATGATACTAATGCGGCCTTAAAGCAGTGCATGAGGCACACCCACAAGATGTGGACCAGGAGCAGGGAACGTCGATATTGAACTGGGTGTCAAATCTCATAAACGTGGCACTCACAAGCGATCGCTTGAATGTCAAGATGTTGGACGTTTCAGAGGCTTGAACCCCAATATTACGGAGGACAGGACTCAGCTGATTCCAGATGGTGACCAGCCTTGGTATGTAAGAAGAGCTGAAGGCTGATGTCCTTACTCTAATGGGGGTAAGCATGTGCGATCGGAGGTATCTAGAGGGTCTGGAAGGGAAGGATACATACTTGTGAACAATTGGTTTAGACTTAATAAACACCATGACGTCGCAAACTTCACGCCTGTGCGCAAGAGGCAACAGACCAAGGGTGGAGAGACGTTCCTTGTAGGTCAGGGTGTTCGAGTGGGCTCCTAGAATGAATTTAGTCGCCCGCCGTTGCACCCCCTCTACAAGGGACATGAGTTTGCGGGACTGAGGAGACCACAAAGGTGAGCAGTATTCTAAGATGCTTCTCACCAATGTGGTGTACAGTGCCTTGCGTACATCAGTGCTAGAGTTGAACCCGACTGTTCTTTTGATGAAACCAGTCATAGAATTGGCCCTGGCTACCATCTTTAAGATATGACTGTTCCACTGAAGGTCCGACTGGACAATGACCCCAAGGTCAGGCATACTGTCTACAGATGTAATTGTAGTATCAGACATGTGATAAGAGTACACAATAGGACTCTTAGAGCGAGTTAAACGGATAAGTTTACACTTGGAAGGATGAAAAGACATCTTCCAAGTAAGACTCCAGTTGTACATAGCAGTGATGTCATTCTGCAGCTTAACACAGTCATTTAGCTTGCTGACTTCCCTAAAACATTTAGAGTCGTCAGCGAAGAGTGCTACAGTGGATTGAGTTGCTGCACAAGGTAAGTCATTGATAAACAGAAGGAAGAGAAAGGGCCCAAGAATGGAGCCCTGTGGAACACCTGATGTCACCGGGAGCCATTTGGACTGGCAACCTTCCACTACGACACGCTGACGACGACTCCGTCGAGTCACCATTCTTGAACCCTCTGCCCGGAAACAACAGGAGAAGTCGGAGAGGTCACAGCCGACAGTTTCAGCACATTGCCTGCCGTACAAACTACAAACTCAACTCCTTCTTCCCCCGAACTATCCGGGATTGGAACAATCTGCCTGAAGACACTGTCAAAGCCCTGGCCTCCTTCGTTTCGAAGGTAACAAACCTTGTTTAAGTTTAAGCCTAGCTGGTGATCTTCAACCAAATAAAAGCAGCAGCTCGATCAGCTCGACAGTCAACGGTAGAACAACTAAGAAGTCTCCGGTGGCGCGAGGAATTGTGGGAATCTGAATGGCGATGATCCCATCTACTTCCGGGTCAAACCAAAAGCCTTGCAGGCTCACAGCCTGGCCTGGTGTAATGCTTTATCTTCTTTCACTCTTTCCACTGGCACTCTTTCATGATCAATTCACCTCCCAAGATGCACTGTGATTGAAAGAACCCATATGATTTTATGACAGTTCTAACTATCTGGCGAAAACAGATAAAACCTTGCAGTAATAAAATTAAATTTGACTTTAAAGTAAAACTAGAAGCTCGGATGGTGCAATGCTAATCTCCAAGCAGATGTTTCATACAGTATCAAATTGTCGGGCAGGCCCAGTGTGTGTGTGTGTGTGTTACAGTGCGAACCGTGTGTGTGGTGTATACGTCCGTTTGTGCGTGTAGATGATTGTGAGTTTGTGTTGGATAAATAAATCGTAAATATAATGTATGAGATAACGTTACCACTGTCGTCAGTCTTTTCACCGTCAGACTCCGAGTCAGAGACAAAAAAAGAACGCCAAGAATTTGATCCGCTAAAAGGTAGGAGTTCTGCTCCAGTTTGGGCCGCTCATCAGTGCATCAGTGATCATCAGTTAGCCGACAGTGGACGCAGTGGGTTGTCCAGCGGGCTTTGTAGTTATACACGACTGCATGTAACGTTAACACACACATGTCGGGCAGGACCCGAGAGTGTGTTTTTCAGTGTGAAGTGCCATACGTCCGTTTGCGGGTGTACGTAGGCGATTGTGAAAGAAGGGGAAAATACTGTTGAATGCATTTTTGCTGTATAATCTTCATTTGATCTCTTGTTCGTGCAAGCTACATAATAGATCTGTGTTATTGTCCCGTCCGGCAGCTCCCTCGAGTTCTTTACGTTCTTATTCAGCAGAAACTGTCATCGTACAAGTCGGTAATTCAAAGAAACAGAAGACTGTTAAAACACTGATGGCCTAATATGCAGGAAGACGAAATGCAATCTCTAGTGGGTCTGTCGGCTCACAACGTCTGTAATCACGGATCCGGTATTTCCTGAACACCGGCTAGAAAATACAGGTCCGATACGTTCATCTCTCCTATTTACAGTGGGATATTCGTGTATGAATCAAGCAATGAAAGATAATGGCGATAACATAGAACGTATTGTTTAAAACTACAGATCATAATATCAGTTATAGCATCAACGAAAAATTATCAAGAGAAATATAACCATTGACACACACACAGAAACGTAAACACACACAGAAAAGGTGATTAACGCACACACACACTGAGCGACAAGTAACCACACATCGGGCAGGCCTTGGGTGTTTGTGTGTGTTGCAGTGCGCACGTGTGTGAGTGTGTTTTGTATGTATCTGTGTGTGTGTAAATGTGCATCTGTGTGTGTGTTGTAAAAATGTATCGTGCGTTTATTAATGAATACCGTGAGATAACAAAGCGGTCTTTTCTGTGGCCTTGAACTTGCCATCTTGTAATCACGGAACCGGCTGTAAAATACAGGTCCGGTACGTTCAGCTGTACTATTTACACAGGAATACTATCTAAACATACAATCGTGTCTGAATCAAGCAATGAAACTATGATAATGGTGATGACGTAGAACGTATTGTTCAAAACTTCAGATGATAATATCAGTTATGGCATCAACGCAAAATTTATGAGAGAAATATAAATCAAAACACACACTCACAGGCACGCAAACACACACACACTGTAGTCAAAACGCACACACACACTGCGCGACATGCAACACACACACACACACACCAGCTAGGCCCAGAGTGTGTGTGTGTTGCAGTGCGCACAGTGTGTGTGTGTGTTGTATACGTATCTCTCTGTGCGAATGTGTATCTCTGTGTGTGTTGTATAAATGTATCTGTCATTTATTGGTGAATACTTGCGATAACAATGCAGTCTTTTACGTGGCCTTCACCTTGCCATATTGTAAATGAAAGTGATGAAAGTGATCTCGATCCAGTTTAGCTCATTGAAGAGCTTCCACTGGTCGTGACAGAGAAGACAGACGCTATATACAGTATTTACAGGTTCATTGTACCGGGGAAATTCCCCTAGCTTTTTTGAAGCACAATGAACAGTGGACCACGGTTAACGTCCCGTCCGAAGGACTGCGACCCTAAACAGTAGCGTGCATGTCGGGTGAGCGACATCAGTCGGGATTCGAACTCCCAACCTCTTAGTCCAGAGGCAGGATCGCTAACCACTGGACTACGCACGCTACGTTGTTGTAATGACAGATCCGGCTGTAAAATGCAGGTCCGTTACATCCATCTCTCCTATTTACACTGTGATGCCATCTGGCCATACACGAGTGTATGACTCAAGCAATTAAAGATAATGGTGATAACGTATAACGTATTGTTTAAAACTTAAGATGGCAGTTATGAGCAACATAAATTCTTGAGGGGAATATAAATCCAGACACGCAATCCAGGCAAGCCAACACACACACACACACACACACACACACACACACACACTGCGCGAAATGCAACACACACACACGTCCGCTAGGCCCTGAGTGTGTGTGTGTTGCAGGGCGCACGTGTGTGTGTGTGTGTGTGTGTGTGTGTGTGTGTGTTTGTTTGTTTGTTTGTATGTATATGTGTGTGTTTGTGTGTGAATGTGTATCTGTGTGTGTGTGTTGTATAAATGTATCTGTCATCAATTGCTGAATACTTGAGATAACAATGCATTCCTTTATGTAGCGTTGAACTTGCCATCTTGTAATCACAGATCCGGTTGTAAAATGCAGGTCCGATACGTTCATCTCTCCTATTTACACAGGGATACTATCTGGCCATACACGAGTGTATGAATCAGCCAATGATGATAATGGAGATGACGTAGAACTTATTGCTTTAAACTTCAGATAATAATATCAGTTACTTAGTATGGCATCAACGAAAAATTCATAAGAGCAATATAATTCATGACACACACTCACAGACACGTAATCTCACACACACACACTGTAGCCAAAACGCACACACACTGCGCGAAATGCAACACACACATGTCGTGCAGGCCCTGAGTGTGTGTGTGTTTTGCAGTGCGCACAATGTGTGTGTGTGTGTGTGTGTGTGTGTTGTACTCGTGTGTGTGTGTGTGCGTGTGTGTGTGTTTTGTATGTATATGTATGTCTGTGTGTGACGATACATTTTAACATTATACAAATGTATTTCTTTTATGTTGCCTTGAACTTGCCATCTTGTAATCACGGATCCGGCTGTAAAATGTAGGTCCGACACGTTCAGCTCTCCTATTTACACAGGAATACCATCCGGTCATACACTCGTGTATGAATCAGCCAAAGAAAGACACTGGTGATGATGTAGAACTTATTATATGAACTAATATCAGTGATGCCATTAACGCAAAATGAATAAGAGCATTATAATTAATCGTACTCAAAGACACGTACACACACATAGTAGGAAGTAGGAACGCACACACTGGAGTCAAAACGCACACACACACTGAGCGAAATGCAACACACACTTGTCGTCCAGGCTCCGTGTGTGTGTGTGTGTGTGTGTGTGTGTGTTGCAGTGCGCACAGTGTGTGTTGTGTATACGTCCTTGTGTGTGTGTGTGTGTGTGTGATCGTGTATGTATGTGTGTGTGTGTGTGTGTGTGTGTGTGTGTGTGTTGGATAAATGTATCGTGGGTGACATGCCGTTGTCGATATTATCGCTGGTCATACTAAAAGTGTATGAATAACCACATGGTTGAAAGATGATGTTGGTGACGTAGAGCTCATGGCTAGACATTATTAAAATGAAGTCAGCTATGAAAATTAAGTCAGCTATTATGGTACTTCGCCAACTTATCTAGAGCAATATAATCCACTGAACACAGAAACTCACGTAGATACACACACTGGAGTCAAAACGCACACACACACACTGAGCGAAATGCAACACACCAAGGACATTCATCGACGGTCGGGCAGGCCCTGTCTGAATCAAGCAATGAAACTATGATAATGGTGATGACGTAGAACGTATTGTTTAAAACTTCAGATGATAATATCAGTTATGGCATCAACGCAAAATTATGAGAGAAATATAAATCAAAACACACACTCACAGGCACGCAAACACACACACACATGTCGGGCAGGCCCTGAGTGTGTGTGTGTTGCAGTGCGCACAGTGTGTGTGGTGTGTAGGTCCGTTTGTGTCTGTTTGCCTCTGTCGTCTCGTGTGTGTGTGTGTGTGTGTGTGTGTGTGTGTGTGTGTGTGTGTGTGTGTGTGTGTGTGTGTGTGTGTGTGTGTGTGTGTGTGTGTGTAGGTAGGTGTTGGATAAATTTATATGTAATACCGGTGAGATACCGTTGTCGTCAGTCTCTTAATAATTCGCTTGAAATTGCCATCTTGTCATTCATCTGTAACATACAGCTCCGCTAGGCAGGCACCTTTGCTCCTTACACCGGGGTATTATTGCTTGTCACACTCAGGTGTATAAATAACAACATTAAAGATAATGTTGGTGACGTAGTTAAACTTTTAAAATAAAATCAGCTATTGTACTACGCTAAATCATCTAGAGTAATATAATTCATTGAAACTCACAGAGACACACACACACACTGTAGTCAAAACGCACACACACACTGAGCGAATTGCAACACACACACATGTCGGGCAGGCCCTGAGTGTGTGTGGGTTGCAGTGCGCACAGTGTGTGTGGTGTGTAGGTCCGTTTGTGTCTGTTTGCCTCTCTCTCTCTCTCTCTCTCTCTCTCTCTCTGTGTGTGTGTGTGTGTGTGTGTGTGTGTGTATGTTTGCATATATATAAATAACATGTCAGGCAGGCCCTGCGTGTGAGTGTTGCAGTGCGCACTGTGTGTGTGTGTGCTGTATACGTCCGTGTTGTGTGTGTGTGATTGTGTATGTGTGTGTGTTGGATAAATGCATCGTGCATTTATTGATAAATGTGTGAGA